CCCCAAAACCCCAAAACCCCAAAACCCCAAAACCCCAAAACCCCAAAACCCCTAATCGACTATTTTCCATTGAAATTCACAGATATCGAGTCATACTTTGCGGAGATATTCAGTGGCTTGTTTGAACACTCATACAATCATCTTCCAAAGAGGTTGCTTCAGTGAAAACTCCTCATATCGAATAATTCAGTGACTCCACAAAAATGTTTGTCAAAATATGAGAGTCAGAGTAGATAAAATATTTGTCCAAAGTGCTTTAGTGTCCAGATGATATTTCACCGAAAAATTTGTTTCAGTCATGTTTATCTTACACCTCAATTGGGTCACACACCCTGATTGAGAGTCAACTTTCTTTGCACTGAGACTTTGATTCCTCGCCGAGCAAATTTGAATGAGTGTTCACTAAATTTTAGATATTTTAAAATTCTCACTGGACACTTCGTCACTGTATTTATTGGTGGGGCAGTTGCTGTCCAAACTTGAAGCCAAAAATAATGAAAATACCCACAAACAGAGAGCATCTATTTAATCAATTTTATGTTGAAGAAACCCTTCAATCCCTTAGAGACTCAAATGAGCTTGATAAATGTGCCTTCGATCTTGAACTTGTTTCTAAGTGGAGAGATTACTCACACTTAGAACATACCGTCAAGAAATCGACCTTACTAACTTTAGACAAATCAGAGCAACTTCGAAAATATTTAAAGAATATGAGTTGTAGGCCAACTCTTGGCTCAAGAAGACATCGATCGAGATCGACTAAGAACAAATCGTACTCTTGAGAAGGCCATGGCAGGCTCATATCTTCTTTCTGAAAAAATGCATAATGGGAGTAAGCTCCATTACAAACAGGATATGTACTAAGTTCAGAGTCAAAATATGACTATATTTGCAGGCCTTTAAAATCAAGCATCGAAACACTGTAATTTGATTAATAACACGGCTACACTTACAAAATCTGAATGCTTCTATGTGACTGAGATTTATCAAGAGTCTAAAACCAGGAATCTTGAAGCAACAACTGGGTTCGATCAAGGTTTCAATCAATTTATTTTAAAATCCAGGGGTTTTGGGGTTTTGGGGTTTTGGGGTTTTGGGGTTTTGGGG